TATAATATATATCAAGGATTCGATCCTTTCACGTGCGCGCTTGTGCACACTGGTTACGACACTATATATATGTATAATGTAGTATATTTATATTATATATATATGTACAAATAAATGTATATATATTTATACACAAGTTTACCGATGCCGTAAAGTTTTGCTAAATAGGTCGCCATACCATAGTCAGGCAGTATTGATAATTAAGGCTTGCCGTGCAACGGTCTCCGATCATTTTCTCTTTTCTACTTGTCCGTGACACGTGAACAGCACGTAACACTAAATTACATACGCATTCTCATATTTCACGCGTGCACGCGTGATCTTTCATAATACTCTTTTGATGATATACATGCTATATATATATTTCTATATATGCTATTTATATGTGATTTTGATCGTACATATTTGATATTACATCGACACGTTTTACGCACACATATCAGTTCTATGGAACCAACCAGGAAATGCGATAGGGTGTATGACGCGTACACGATGGTAACATTCAATGACGTTTTCACTCTATACAATTATTTGTTGAATTGATTCGGGTGAGATAAAAATACGATTACAAATAATAACATTGCGAAAGTGAAAGAGAGAAAATAATTCAACGTTAGCTCGTAATCTCGAGAGATTATCTTCAAAGAATGTTGGATATCTTGCAATAATAAACGTGCATTTTATCGGTGGAATATTTAGCAATAATTAAAGAACGATTAACGCTATTTTGATCGAAGAATTTCGGCGAACGTGCATTATATTTATTTGTATACGCGTTTCGCAATGAATTATAAGCAATTGAAGATCCATAATCTTCAATAATCTCTTAAATTAGTTTAATGCTACCGTCGGACATGTACACAAATAGGATGTAAAAAAGAATTAAAGAAAAAAGGATATAGGATTTTGCTACGTGATAATATTAAACAAGTTTGCATGCTTCATTTTCCATACGAGATGTTTGGCTTCGTCACCTTTTTGTTTTCTTTTCTCCTTTCGAGTTAAACGTCTAATTTGATTAACGCGCTGATATTATTCTGAACAACACTCTTCTTCCGAACAAACTCCCCATCCCCCACCAGCTTCCCACTTCCCCTCGACAAAACAGAAACAAAATAATCAAACAAAATGATAAAACTGGTTTGAAATTTCTAAGAATATTTTAGGTGATACGTAAATACTATATATATATATTCGATTATATGTATATGTATATATATAGTCTGGAGAAAAATTATTATTTTAGCAATAAATAATTCAACGTAAGTATCATTTATCTACATCGTATAATTTATAAATAATACTTAAGCAACATTATTTAAGTTAAGGTTTTTGAAAGATTTTTTGGAAATATTTTACGAAACTTTCACTGAAAGATTTTAAAACCTTTCGTGTTATGTGGGAGATAACTAAAGTCCTAATAAAAATAATGTTATTTGAATCTTAACGTATCCAGTATTATGCGGTTTTTTATCAGTCTTCCATATATATATGTTATTGAGTACAGTTCTTTTCAATGAAGTCTATTCGAACTGATTACCATCATACCGCTGGCGTAATAAATTCAAATGAGATCCCAAAATATGAAATGGAAATAAACAGATAGAAATCCAATTATGTAAAGATGTTCCCTCTCCCCCCATCCCCATTTCATTCGCATATAAGTGTGATTTTCTCAGTAGTTTAAGTAAAATACCTTACGTTACCTTTCCAATTCCCGCTTTAACCGGATTATTGCGAAACGACAAGCGTGCCAGATTTCTACGCAATAGATTCGTTGATTATTTTTTTTTCTTCTTCTTTTTTTTCAAGACACAGCCAAACATTCTCTCCTCCAAGGATAATGAATTTAACTAAAAAAGTTCGATTAATCATTTCGTGGATTATTATTCCGTAATATACATATATATTAACCGGTATGTCTTGTTCCTACGAAAATATTTATTTGGAAATATGAAAAAGGGTATTTACCTGAGAAGAGAATAAAAAAGAGGATAAAAAAGCAATAACCTAAGCAAGACATCTATGATTGACAGCATATAAATACATTAAATTGTGTAAATAATTTAATACTGGGGAAAGAAGGGGTATGGGGGTGATAGCGGGGAGGGGGGTCTGAGAGAAAAGGGCGGGGGAAATTCGAGATGACAGTGTAAGAGCCGAACAGTTTGAAATATCACGCCTTTAGCCGCAGTGCTCGTTTGAGTTTAACGCAAAGCAGGTGTGCGCAGGTTTTACGTCGACTTGACTCTGGAGTCATGACACTTAGTGTTAATTTGTTTCTTTTTTTTGAAAAAGATACATAAAAAAGAGAGTTCTTTTATGAAATTAGCTTAGATTAGAAGAAACGTTATAAACGAATTACATCTTCAGTTTGATCGGTATAATAATACCATATATCATTTTTGAGCAATTCGAACATTTTTCTTTTCTATTTTCATTCTTTAAGAACGTAAACGCTTCTTTACCTGTGTTCCGTTATTTTCTTCCTTATTTTTGTTGCTGTTGTTGTTGTGATTTTTGTTTTTAACTAACGCGCTATCTTGAATTATTCCCCAAGAAAAAGAAAAGGAAATAAAATCGTGGATAACATTAATCGTTGTTACAAAATTCTCAAGGAATACGTTGAAAATCAAAAAACGAAAATTAATCCAAAGATATCTCGGTTATGTTCAGATCCGCGCGCGAAGCGCGGACGCTCATCTAAAAGGAAGAAAGTACAATTATTTTTGCCTCGAGAAAAGATACAGTCAACCTGGGTGAGTTTTCAACTTTCCTTCTTTTATCCTTTATTTTTTATTCTTCGAGGATGACGAAGGTCGCATGAGATACCGGTATAAAAGCTTTTCTTTTTTTATCTTGTTTTTTTTCGTTTTATAGTTTTTTCTTCTTTTCCTTTTTTCCATATCTTCAGTCGCTCGAAAAGAAATAGTAGGAAAAATTGTGATCGTTATATGAATATCTTCGAGAAATATTTTTTCCGATAAAATTGGTAGAACTGATTGCAAGATAATAATGTTTTTAATCGATCGAATTTAATATTAATTAAGAGATTTTCTATCTTTTTTTTCTTTGTCAATTGACGTGGTCATACGCGTTAGATAATCATTTTTTGTATTGGAATGTCGCTTTAATTTATTACATATATACAGATAAATAAATAAGTAC